AATCTATATGCCTGAAATTAAAATCCCCTATAATTATGACTTCATTAACAGCTGAAATCTTAATCTCATTGTAAATTTTCTCCCTAATTTCATCAGTATCATTTGGTGATCTGTAACAGATTCCCACTAAAAGTCTCTTTGCTATTATCTTTTATATCCTCAACTTCAACAGGACGTAACTCACATTTTACATATAAAGTCACTCCTCCTCCCCTCTTTAGTACTGTATCCCTATTAAATAGCCTGTGCTCTTTTAATGAATGCTTAAGTTACTGCACACTTTAGCTACACACAGAATGTGATTAGTCCTTTTAATTCATGTCTTGAAAGTTTTCAAATAATGATGTTATTTTCTTTAAAAACGTTTTGTCCTAGCATACTTCATATAAACGTAAACATTTCTTACTCACCTGACACATAGATAAACAACCTGTGCAACATGTATAAAAATGATAAGCTATATTTCCAATTAAATGCAAACAAACATAGTTTCTGTAGCAAAAATATTTAAGTATCATTACAGGAAAAATATCTTGGTTAAGAAATTAAGCAATCACCTATTTTACTTACAAATGAATTTACCAAGCTAAAATACTGTACAAGTTATTATGATAAGAAACTCGGTGTTCTACATTGATTCAGCTTTAATCTTTACTTAAAAGTTAAACATCAAAAGCTGGAAAAAAACAACCTCACAACAGTTCACTTTTTTCGATAGAATTTTCTTCTTACTAATGTATTAAAAAAACAATATAAAATAAATTTTTACCAAAGCTTTATTCCAGTTTTTTGAAAATTTGTCTCTGTACTCGACAACATAACCAGTAATGGGGGATCCTCCATCTTTCTCTGGTGCTGTCCATTTCAAGTCTACATTGTCTTTATCCCAGTTGGTTATTTCCAAATTTTCTGGTTTTCCTGGTTCATCTTAAAGAGATGACATACCATTCAGTACAAACCTACCAGACAAGCCAGATGTTCATAAAACTCTGACTAAATGTTAACTTATAGCCTACCAGATAGGTCAGCTGTTCATGAAATTCAGAGTTTACATAGATCAAGAAAATAGGTTATTCAAAATTCCTTGTCTTGTGAATGAAGTTTCCACATAAATTATAAAGTCTGTGAAACTCTTACTTCAAAGCTTAAATGAAGATCAACTAAATAAAATACTCTTCATTTTTAAAACATAGTTAATTAGGCACAACTATCCAAAAGGAGCACTAACTCTAATATGCTTTTGATGAAACAAAAAATGAAAATATACATCAATCATCATTCATACCAAAAGGATCTTTGGCTAGAGTCGCCTCGGGTGTCACCAGGGGATCGGAAGCCCCTTTTTTGTTTACAGCACGGACTCTGAATTTATATTCTTTCTTCTCTATAAGATCAGTGACATCTAGCTTTGTTTCTTCTACTGTGGCAATCTCTGTCCATCCAATTCTTGTACCAACAACTTGATGTTCTACTATGTAGTGCACTAAAGGCAGGCCACCTATGTCCTTTGGCAATTTCCACAACAACTTGCACCTATCTTTGAAAACATCAAAGACTTCTAGGGGTCCCTCAGGTGGCTGAGGAATGTCTTAAGAATAAAAAAATTGATATTGCATTTTTAAGGGAAGAAGCTCACTCATATTTAAGTTACATAATCAAAGTATATCACTGTTCAGGTTTGAAAGTTTGACTTGTAATTACAATAAAATAATGCACCAAAACTCAGAAATGTACTGATAAAACTATTAAACAAAGCTAAATTTGGGCATTTCATCTGGAATTTTATATTTTAATTTTTGTTCTGAAGTTTAAAAGTTTTGCAAATATGAACATACAAACTTTCATACTTGGAAAGTATGTTATTAAAGAAATACTAAACATTTGTAAGAAATTTTTATATACTCAAAAACAGTAGTAGAATATCTGTAAGTAAGTAAAATATTGGAAACAATGTACTTTTTCTTTTGCATGTGTGTGTGTGTCATATACAACATAGTATAATACTAGAATCTTACAGTTCTAGTCTTACAAAGAAGCTCTGTTGGAAAATCTATTATTACCCTTTCTTTTCTCTTTTGTAACAGGAATAAAATAAACTGTGAAGCTTGACTGGCAATATTTTATGAATTCTGAAATGCAAAGAATTGTTCAAAATCATACAAAATATTCTTACCAGTAATGTTAATATTGATTTTACACTTGTCTTCTCCTTGATCATTGCTAATCTGGATTTGATAATCCCCAGATGTGCCTCGAGAAGTCTTTTTAAGCGTGAAAACAGCCAAATCCTGCCGAACTGATATATCACATTCTTTGTTTGAAACTGACTTGTCACCTCGTAGAAACTTGGCATTGACATCTGAAGTTCTTGTACCAGCAACTGTTCCAAAAAAAAGAATGCATTCAGACATATCATACAGTAAAAGAAATCCACTAGCGGACTGCCTTTATATGCAGAAACAGAAATAACATCTAAAAAAACGTACATATTTTAAAATTCAGTCAAATACTCTTAAAAACATCAATGGTAAAAATGGAATGAAACTATTTGGGAACCCTATGACTGATAAAATGCAACACTGTAGAAACAAGCAGAACATACATGTCTACAAGTTACTGTCTAAACTGAGCACTACAATACATATAAACATAACTCTTGAAAACAAGTAAGATCAACAGTGAACTTGAAACAAAATCTTCTTCACTAATACATCTAAATATGGCTCTTGAAATCAAGTAAGATCAACAGTGAACTTGAAACAAAATCTTCTTAACTAATACATCTAAATATGGCTCTTGAAATCAAGTAAGATCAACAGTGAACTTGAAACAAAATCTTCTTAAGTAATACATCTAAACGTGACACTTGAAATCAAGTAAGATCAACAGTGAACTTGAAACAAAATCTCCCTAAGTAATACATCTAAATATGGCTCTTGAAATCAATTAAGATCAACAGTGAACTTGAAACAAAATCTCCTTAAGTGTACAGTTATCACAGTAGATACAAATAAATGTATAATTAGATCTATGTCAGTCACTAAAAAATGTAGTTCAAATTACTAATCAGTAACATCATACAATTTTATCAAAGTCAGTAATTATCATGCTACTATCACTGGAGGATTTTTTTGTTGATATATTTACTATTATACAGTTGGTTCTAACATGTATTCTAAACAATACAGAAAAGATAAATAAATCTGTTCATTTGTACCTCCATAATACTTTTCTGAATAAACTTATGATTCTCAATATACCTCTGGTGAAATTCATCTCCCCTAAGATAAATAGTTTTCCAGATATAGTAACTTTAAACATGAGGAGTTGTATATTTCAAGGTTCTGTGAAACCTATATATAGACTATCTGTGCATAGCCATCCCTCAGTTAAAATGATAGTCTAGAAGAAAAGCAGCTAGTTAACAGCATTCTATCCAACTCTTAAGCTAATCTTGTCTAATCAAATACAGAGATTTGACCATTGATGTAACAGTGCACCCACAGCCCCAAAATGCAGATGTACATTTGCTGCAACAGGTCACAAACCACAAGTCTTTACATTCATAGACAGAAACGAGGCCACATCCAGCTTTAAAGTAAAACAGGAAAAAAAACCCTTAATCAAGAAAATGTATGTATAATCTTACTTGTAAAAGGCACTTCAATAGTTAGTGGCTTTGTAGAATCACCTATGAAATCAAACTTGTTCAACTCAATCTTAGGAGCCGTTTCACCTGTCAAAAAAAACAAATTTTCTTTACATTGTACCTTTTTATAACGTGTATTGCTTAAGAAGCATTATCAAATATTTATATAATTGTAAAACATTTAACCTCAAGTGGGAAGAAATGACCATTACAGTTAGACCAAACGTCCAGGCTCACCTTTACAAGCTGTTAATTTACAGTTAGACTATAGGTCCTGAC